TCCAATACTTCTGCTTACCTGATGCTCATTAATAAGAAGCTCTCAAGCAGCATTGAAGATCAGCATGGGCAGATGTTTAGAATAAAAGACCAAGGTGTAGTTGTAATCAAAGCCATAGATTTCAATGTCTGACAGGCTCATTTCGTTGTTTGAAAAAATAGCATCCGGGTTCAGCATGTTACTCATAATTAAAGGAGCTAACTCTGGGAACAGGGGAGAGGGAAAAAAAAGTTATACCAACCTTGTAGTTTAAATAAAAAGCAATAGAAATTTCTAAATATAGTTAAATGAAGATGGAAACTATCAAACTGATTCACACTAATAATGCCAGCTAACCTTTAGCAATATGATGCTATTGAGAACGCTGTCCCTAATTAGTCTAATTGACTCACATTTTTTATTTGAAGCGTACATTCCTTAAACATTCAGGTTCATTTCGGTATCATGCTTCACAAAGAATTCCAGAATCAGATATTATAAGCGAAGGTGGGTATTTAGTCAGTAAAGACTAATTCAACAGCTTATAGAATCATAGAGTGGCCTGGGTTGAAAAGGACCTCAAAGATCACGTAGTTTCAAGCCCCCTGCTCTGGGCAGGGTTGCCAACCACTATAACAGGCTGCCCAGAGTTACATCCAGCCTGGCCTGGAATGCCTCCAGGGATGGGGCATCCACAACCTCCCTGGGCAACCTGTGCCAGTGCTTCACCACCCCGGTGATAAACTTTTTTTGGTGAAAAACTGTGTGGAGTGAAAAACTTTCTCCTAATTTCTAACCTAAATCTCCCCTGTCTTGGTTTGAAACCATTTCCCCTTGTCATATCACTATCAACACATGTAAAGAGGCATTGCCCCTTTGGTTTATACGCTCCCTTCAAGTACTGGAAGGACGCAATGAGGTCTCCCCAGAGCCTTTTCTTCTCCAGACTAAACAAGCCCAGCTCCCTCAACCTCTCTGCATAGGAGAGGTGCTCCAGCCCTATGTGGCTCTCCTCTGGACCAGTTCCAAGGGCTCCATGTCCTTCTTGTGCTGGGAGCCCCAGGCCTGCATGCAGGTCTGGTGGTCTCACAAGAGCAGAGGTATTCCAGGTGGGGTCTCACAAGAGCAGAGTAGAGGTGGACAATCACCTCCCTCTCCTTGCTGGCCACCCCTTTTTTAATGCAGCCCAGGACATAGTTGGCCTTCTGGACTGAAGCGCGCACTGCTGGCTCATGTCCAGCTTCTTGTCCATCAGGACCCCCAAGTCCTTCCCCACAGGGCTGTTCATAAGTTCTTCTTCGCCCAGTCTATATACATTCCTGAGATTGCCCTAGTCCTAGTCCAACCTTCCACTTGGCCTTGTTGAACCTCATTAGGTTCTCATGGGCCCACTTTTCCAGCCTGTCCAGGTCTCTCTGGATGGCATCCCTTCTCTCTATTGTATCGACTGCACCGCTCAGCTTGGTGTTATCTGCAGACTGAGGGTGCACTCAATTCCGTCACATATGTTGTTGATAAAGACGTTGAAGAGCATCGGTCCCAAGACTGACCCATGAGAGACACCACTTGTGACCCGCCTCCACCCAGATACAGAACCATTGACCACTGGTCAATTTAATATCAAAAAACCCTTTGCTGTCCTTCCAGTCCCCAGTCCTGTGCCGCCTCCTTCAGTTGTTTGTACAAAGTGAGGCATTGGGCAAGATTTTGAATATTTTTTATTCCTTTTTGGGTTCACTCCTTCTAAATGGCAGACCATTGTCCTTGTTCTTTGCCTTCTGTCTGTGGAGGCTGGTTCCCTGCCTTAGTTCTCAAGGGTTGTTCTCAAACTCTCTTACAGTTTTGATCAGTAAACTGCCTAGATAGATTGCATTTACTTGGCTAAAGCTGGAGTTTTGGACCTTTACTTTTTCTCTCTCACAAAACATTTAGATGTTATAAGGCACATTTTCCTTTAGAAAGGTGAACATTTTTCACAGTAAATACTCATCTAGAAATTCTGTCTCTTTTTACAGCAGTGTAACTCTGTTCAAGACCTTTTTGGAAGATGAATGAAAGGGGAGTGTTTTGGGACAAAATTCACAAATTGCAGAAAGGCCAGATTTACGAACAGGTACCCTTTAAATAACTTCCAACACTTTCAGTTCAGATTTAATACCTGCAGTCCTAAACTTCTTTAGCTAGCATAAAGGCTTCTGAAAACAAGGTATTTTTAAGAGTTCTTTTATTAATTTTGGTGGTTCAAATTAATTGCTGGTATTATATGTCTGCAGTTTACTTGCCTCTTAAAGTGGATATGAAAATTTAGAGTAATTAGAGTAATTTGAAGTAAAATAAGTAGAGCATTTCATAGGCAGTTTTCCTGTATGCTTGAAAGCAGTCTGAAGTCCTGAGAGGTTCTTTATGGATTTTACATTCATGGCTTTCTTGTGCTTCTATTTGAAACTTGACATGCCACACTCCTAAAGTGAGTGCTTGTGTGTCTGGGGCTCAGTACTGGGGCCAGCTCTTTTTAATATCTTTATCGATGATCTGGATGAGGGCATTGAGTGCACCCTCAGTAAGTTCGCAGATGACACCAAGGCAGGTGCGTGTGTCGATCTGCTAGAGGATAGGAAAGCTCTGCAGGAGGATCTGGATAGGCTCAACTGATGGGCTGAGGCCAGTTGTATGAGATTCAACAAGGCCAAGTGCTGGGTCCTGCACCTGGGGCGCAATAACCCCAAGCAGAGCTACAGGCTGGGAGAGGAATGGTTGGAGAGCTGCCAGGCAGAGAAGGACCTGGGAGTGATGGTGGACAGTCAGCTGAGTATGAGCCAGCAGTGTGCTCAGGTGGCCAAGAAGGTGTCACCTGTTTTAAGGCATTTCACCAAATATGTGATATTTGGTAGAAACCAGACAACAAATGAAAGGGAAGAAGAAACAGTAGAAGGTATTGCATGGCCTTAATTTACATGACAATTGACAACAATGACAATCTGCAATGATTTATAAGTGCCTTACACCATTCACCCTTGAGACAGAAAAACGGGATTCCCATATGATGTAAGGGGAGTGCAATCCCTCTCAAAATACAACTCATTAAACCAGAGGAGTACTATCCTCTCGTAGTCATTCAGGTTGGATCCCAGGAAGCTGCTATGAGAAAAATGAAGAATATTAAAAAGGACTTTGCATCCCTGGGGAGGTTGTTGAGGGGATCGGGGATGCAGGTAGTGTTCTCCTCTGCGCCGGGCATGTGGGCTACGGACAGATGCCAACTGGGCAAGTGGGGCACAAGTGTGTTGGGGAGCAAGCGCTCTGGTCTGATTACCAGGGCTTTAAACGAGGTTTGATGGGGGAAAGGAGGGGAGCTAAAGGTGACAGAGAAGGGCTGGGGGAAGTCGTCACTATCATAACTGTTGAAGACAGGGAAAAACTTCTGAACTCTCCCATAGGATTGAGGGCTCCTCAGAGAAGTTAGCGTTCCCGATCCCCCGGCCAGCATCTTCTTCTTGCATCCCAGCAGGGGTAACTGCACCTGCTGCTTCCCTAAAGTGCCTGTACACCAATGCATGGAGCATGCGAAATAAACAGGATGAGCTTGAGATCCGTGTTCGGTCGTGGGGCCACGATTGCGTTGTGATCACTGAGACATGGTGGGACAGCTCGCATGACTGGAATGCTGTCATGGAGGGTTATGTCCTCTTTTTTAGGAAAGACAGGCTGGGGAAGCGGGGGGGGGGGGAGGGGGGGGTTGACCTCTATGTGAGGGAACAATTAGAGCGTACCCAGCTCCAGCTGGGGGAGGGTGAATTAAGAGGTGGACGAGCAGTCCAAACGGTTCCTACAATGCATTGAGGACAATTTTCTGATGCAGGTGGTGGAGGAGCTGATGAGGCGTGGGGTGCTCCTGGACCTCGTTCTTACCAACAGGGATGGGCTTGTTAGGGATGTGAAGGCTGGGCGCAGCTTGGGATGCAGAGACCATGAGATGGTGGAGTTCCAGATGGAACTAGGCAAAGGAAGTAAGGCTAAAAGCAGGATTGCTACCGTGGACTTATATGAAGAGCCAGCTTTGACCTCTTCTGGGATCTGCTTGGGAGTATCTCATGGGATAGGCTGCTAGAAGGCAAGGGTGCTTGTGAAAGCTGGGCTACATTTAAGCAGCACTTCTTCCATGCTCAGGGTCAGTGCATCCCGAGGAATAGGAAATTGGGGAAGGGGGGCAGGAAACTCGTGTGGATGAGCAATGAGCTCAACAATAAGATCAAAAGGAAGAGGAAGGTCTATGAAACGTGGAAAAGGGGCCTGTCCCCTTGGGAGGAGTATAGATGTGTTATCAGGGCCTGCAGGGATGCGACGAGGAAGACTAAAGCCCACCTAGAGATGAGGCTTGCAAAGGAGATAAAGGATAATAAGAAGGGTTTTATCAAGTATGTAAACAGCAAGAGGAAGACTAGGGATAATGTGGGTCCCTTGCTGAATGAGGGGAGTGTCCTGGTCACGGGAGACGCTGAGAAGGCAGAGATACTGAATGCTTTCTTTGCTTCAAGGACACTCCCCTGGGACTCCTTGCCCCTGGCAATAGGATAAAGGGTCTGGGAAATGGAGGGCTCCCCCCTGGTGGACATGTGAGAGGTTCGGACACGTTTGAGTGGGCTCAACGCACACAAACCCATGGGTCCCGATGGGATACATCCGCGTATGCTAAGGGAGCTGACAGACATGATCGCTGAACCACTCTCTATCATCTTTGAAAGGTCCTGGAGAACGGGTGAGGTGCCCGAAGACTGGAGAAAAGCCAGTGTCATTCGGATCTTCAAGAAGGGCAGGAAGAAGGATCCAGGAAACTACAGGACAGTAAGTCTCACCTCTGTCCCTGGAAAATTATTGGAGGAGCTTGTTTAGGAAGCCATGCAGGACCGGGACTGGGGACCAGGACAGAATACTCTGTCCCAGAATTCTCCTCTTTATGGTTAAAAAGTATTCGTAATTTCAAAACAAGACATCTTCTGCAGAGGAAGTTCTATGGTGCACAGCATATCCAAGCCACAGTTGGGATCTCAAGCTCTCATCTCAATTTGACTGGCTCATAAAGTTGGCAGTATGCATAAAGTTGTTAAACAATCCTTTCCACACTCTTTAGCCCTAATGTCTAATCTGTGGTGGTTTGCAAAGGAGTTTCTGTGCTTGCAGGGATACGTTGAAGCAGTTTTGTGGCAATGCAATGTAGTTTTGGCAGTTGTCTTGCCCTTTTATACATCTGTAACCTCCTTCCTGCATCCAGAGGAGAAGCTGTGAAGCTTGACGTTACAAACCTCTTACGCAGAATATAAACCCCACAAAGTTAAGGTAGTTGCTCATCTTGGAGGGGGTACGTTTGAATCCAAAACTCATCTTTAGGACAGAAGCAAGGTATTAAGCTCTTTATGTTAATAGGAACGTGAGTCTTTCTGCCTGGAACACAATTCAACAGAGCAGTCAACCATTTCTTTAGATCTGAAGATGCTGAAATGGACCCTGGGTTAAAAAGAACCAGTTCCCAGCCTGTCTCTAAAGATAGTTGTTTAGTGCTAAAATGTGAGTTTCCTTTCTGGTACGTGAACATCCTAGTCTTAAGATTTTCAGTACTCAGTCACGTACCCCAGACTCTCATGTTTTGAGAGGGATTGTACTCCCCTTAGCTAATACGGGAATCCCGTTTTTGTGCCTCCAGGTGTAAGGCACTTAGAAATCATTGCGGATTGTGGTTGTTGTCAATTGCCACGTAAATTAAGGCCATGCAAGTACCTTCTACTCTTTCATTTTCCCTTTCATTTGTTGTCCGGTTACTACTCAATATTACACATTTGGTGAGAAGTCCTAAAAAAAAACATTACATCGTAATGTTAACAACTCTTGTTTTTTCTTTCTCTAGGTCTGCCAGTAGCTGACAAGGCAGAAAGATGACCTTTTCTCTTCCATTCTTGTTAAGTTAGAGGCAGTGCCCACTTAAACTGTGACTGAGGCTCTGCGATGGTGCAAGTCTATCTTACTTCTTCAAATTCAGTGATGCAGCCGGAGTTTTCAGTAATGAACTTTCAAGGATTCAACCACTTTAAAGCTTTTGGACAGTGGCAATTATCTGAAAACATTCCTACAGGTTTATCTTCTTCATTTGTGTTTGTTTGCTCTCTCCATCCCATTCAAAGCAGTCAGGACTGGTTTGCTTCCCTCTTCTCTGGAAATTTGCATTAGGAACCATTGTTAGAATCAGAATCCTGATCTGAGAGCACGATGAAAAATGTTGCACTCCAACTTGGACACTGGAGAGGAAAATGTTCATGTATACATCAGTATTGTACTCAAACAGCTGCTTACACCTCTTAACTTTTAAACCTGAGAAGCAACAGATAGTTTCTACACTGCCCTCGGGGATAGCGTACTCTTCTGTACTTTGCTTCTATACAAACAGATCAAAATTTTAAAGTCATGTTGTCCCTCATACACCAAACAACCTTGCACGGCATTACATGCTCCCCCCCAGATAGATCTTGCCCTGAATGCGAGACCAGACAAGGAAATTATGCCAGCACGTAAAACTAACTTGTAAATACATCCCTTTTTGGCATTTTTTTGTTTTGATGCTTTGTGGGGCTTAGTTGTACTTCAGTGAGAAGAATGTCTTCTGGCATGAACTGAAATTATACCTCTATTTAAATCCAAACATTGTGGCATAATGTATCTTCTGCAATCTATCAATGTTAGTTTGTCATTCAGAATGAATAATGTACTCTGGAACATTTCTATTTTGTCCTTGAGTTTGTTGTTCTTAGTTCTGAAGCTGTCTTTCTACATACTAAAGATACCTGCCACTTCTCATATCTTCCCTCTTTCAATCTGCTACTTATTAAGAATATGTAAAATTGCCACCAAATCTCTTAATAGAGACTAAAATCTATGCATTTATTTTTAAAAATGAAAAGAATTTATATATGCTCACAAAAAGTAGTGACTTTATATTGAGTAGAAAATAGTCATTGACATAAAGCCGGTTCTTGGTTGATTATGAGATATTCCGGGACATCAATCCTCTTCTATATCATATTCTACCTCTGCAAAAAATCATAATAAATATACAGTATTGTATGGCTTTAAACACAAGTCTAGAAGCAGCAAGGAAAAACCTGGGAGTCTACCAGGAAAGTGGATCTGTCCCAGAATATTTTGGGGACCAGCTGAGAATCCATGTAAGTAACTTCACTGAAAACAGAGAACATGAAGGAAGTCCTCAAGGTTCCCAACACAAAACAACTGTAAAACCTAGCAACACTTACCTGCCAGCTTCTGAACTTGAGTCACTGCCAAGCTAATTCACCGAAAGTAACACCAACAGAGTTTTCCTGTTCTGAGAAGTCACCACCAATGTAACTTGCTCATAGAGTCTCCAAAACTATTTCACAGAGATGATAAAAAACATGAAGAAAAAAGCAGCCTACTCAGGAACATGGAGTTCATTCCACCACGACTGTAGAAAAGCACCTTAAGTAACCTGAACCTCAAACTCCTCTGCAGTGGCAATTCTTCCCATAACGCCTCATGCTTCCTATATAGCAAAGGTCAAATGATCCCCACCTGGCAGATTTCTCTAGTGTGGAACCAAGAGACCTTGTGGAATAGGCTCATCAACCTGGCTTCAGTGTTTTAGGTTCAATTGCTTCTTATGGCTAATAGAAATAACCTGACAAGGGGCTTAGTGGTTAGAGTTGACCTAATGAATTAATTACAAAAGGCACATAAGGGTCATATTTCTGCTAGTTAGTCATTCTGTGAGGAAAATTAGTACAGAGCCTGTTAAAATAAGATAAATACACATAAATAAAAGAAAAAATAAAATGACCTAAAAGGCAAAATTGCCATCATAGATTTTCATCTGTCTAGTCACGACAGATAAAGAATATAGCAATCAGAAAGACTTTTCTTGACATTAATGTTGTTTAAATTTGCTTTTCTGAGATCTCTTCTTTATGCAGGACTTTTCAAAATCTAGCGCCATGACCTCTGACTGCAGTATTTACTTTGGCTGCATATAAAGTATCACACATAAATGCCAGGATCCGGATCCTCACTCCCTATTCAGGTCAAGGACCGGGCTGAAAGTTTTGGCTTTAATTTGGTTACATGACTACATTGCTGGTGTCGTGGTTTCCCCCAGCCGGCAGCTAAGCACCACACAGCCGTTCGCTCCCCCTCCTCCCTCCTTCTCTGGGATGGGGGAGAGAAATAGGAAAATGAAGCCTGTGGGTCAAGACAGAGGCAGTTTATTAAGACAGGAATAATAATAATAATAATAATAATAATAATGAGAATAGTACTGCTACTACTAATGTGTACAGAATAAGTGATGCACAGTGCAATTGCTCACCACCCGCTGACCAACGCCCAGCCTAACCCCGAGCAGCCAGCCCCCCCATCCCAGCTAGGTACCCCTGTATATTGCTCAGCATGACCCCATACGGTACGGAATGCCCCTTTGGCCAGTTTGGGTCAGCTGTCCTGGGTCTGTCCCCTCCCAGCTCCTGCTGCACCCCCAGCCTGCTTTTTGGCAGGACAGAGCGAGAAGCTGAAACATCCTTGGCTTGGTGTAAGCACTGCTCTGCAACAATTAAAAGTGTGTTCATCCTAATCCACAGCATAGCACCCTACCAGCTCCTAGGAGGAAAATTAACTCCATCCTAGCTGACACCAGGACAGCTGTTTTCTGGAAGGTCGCAGGGAGAAGACTGGCTGGCTTGGGGGAGCTTCCATACACCTGGCTTTTAGGCTGCAGCCAAAGTGTTCCTCTAGATCTGGAAGTTTGAAGATGACTGAGTGGTTGGAAAGCTGCCTGGCAGAGAAGGACCTGGGAGTATTGGTGGACAGTTGGCTGAATATGAGCCAGCAGTGTGCTCAGGTGGCCAAGAAGGCCAACGGCATCCTGGAGTGCATAAGAAACAGCGTGGCCAGTGGGTCTAGGGGAGTGATTGTCCCCCTGTACTCAGCTCTGGTGAGGCCGTACCTCAAGTACTGTGTTCAGTTTTGGGCCCCTCACTACAAGAAGGACATTGAGGTGCTCGAGCAAGTCCAGAAGGGCAATGAAGCTGGTGAGGGGCCTGGAGAACAAGTCCTACGAGGAGTGGCTGGGATTGTTCAGCCTGGAAAAGAGAAGGCTCAGGGGAGACCTTTTTGCACTCTACGGGTACCTTAAAGGAGGCTGTAGTGAGGTGGGGGTTGGCCTGTTCTCACAGGTGCCTGGTGACAGGACGAGGGGGAAATGGCCTAAAGTTGTGCCAGGGGAGGTTTAGGTTCTTCCTGACATCCAACTTCTTTAATGAAAGGGTTGTTAGGCACAGGAACGGGCTGCCAAGGGACATGGGCATAGCTATGAGTGAATAGAGATAGAGGACGTAGATGAACTTTGTCAAAGAGCCACGTTTAGTGGAACAACTAGTTAGTTATTTGTGCAATTAGATTAAAGCTGCTGATGTAATTGAAGAGTTACAGAAAAAGAGATGAGCCACGACGTATTAGTGCAGTCCTTTATCTTCAGCATTTGAAATAATCCATTACATTTAAGAAACAATTTGCATAAATGACATTTCAGGACAAGGGTATCACAAACAATGCATACAAAACTTCATATATTTGCATTTTGACAAAAGTAAGCTGCTACAGAATGGCATCTTGTTTCACAAGGACAACTTCAGAGTGGAGGCAAGTGCATTTCAGCCACAGTAGCATAAACAGCATGCAAAACATGACTTTAAACAGATGCAATGTCCATGTTTGAAACATTAAATAAAAATTAAGATACATTGAACAAGCACTTGAAACATAGGCCATGCTATAAAATGCCCCAAAATTAAACAATGCATGTAATGTATTATGATAGAATGGTCATAGTCACGTTAGACGTGTTCTTCCAATGTTCCTAAGACCCTGTTTTGGTTGAAGCTCAAAGTAGTTTCTTCCCAAGATGTTATTTCTAAAGACATAGCAAATCACTAAGACGTAATCTCCCATAATTGCTTTGGAAAAAGCATTCTCCTCCTACTGATTTTGAATTGCATTTCAAATTTTCATATAAAGTTGCACAAACCTGTTTTACCTAGTGGCACAATTACTATGTTCTAAGAGTTCCTTTCTCAGGTTTTTCAGGCTTCAGGAAATGTTCCCTTCAAAATACATACTCTGCTTCATTTTGTGCGATGTTTTTACAAGGGATAGAACAGAAGTGCACTAGAGCAATTTATTTTCTAACAAGGCATTTTGAAGAAAGTTTTCATATCATGTACCTGTGGCCAAGGTCCTTGGACACTGAGGAACAACTGGCTAGAAGTCATTTCCCTTACTAAAAAAAGTACACAATTCTGTAAAAATGGACTACAAAACCACAGTGCTGGTAATGCCCTTTTTTTTTTTAGACCTTTATGATAGACATTACTAAATGTATGTACACAATTTGTGTGGCACATTAAACTTCTATGGGCAAGTTTTGTATCAATAAAAATAGACTAATATAAAATGTTAAAAACAAGCTATTTAACTTGTATCACATGATTTTATATATATGACGTTTTAAAAGGACCATTATATATTAAATGATCATTTTCAAGTACATTATGATTCAATTTCATAGACAAGAACATGTCTATACTAAGTATTCCAGCAGTATCTATTACCGATAATCTGAAATATGCAAAATATAATTCGTAAACTTAGAAGCTTACTTCCATATCTCTCCATTTTAAACCTACTCAATTTCTGTATGCAAGATTCTTGTCTTAAACGGGAACAAAGTATTGGAGTATTATCTGCACAAATTTTGGCACAAAAGCCAGAAGTACTTCTCACACAGACCCAGTGAGAATAAATATGATCATATTTTCAAGAATGACTAGTAATTTGGGTTTCTGCTTTGCAGACACAAGAATATCCAGAATACATTTTGAAAAACTTAGGCCCTCAACCAACAGAATACAGAAAGCAGAAATTGTTCTGCTGTACTCTAAGATCACTCCCAATGATAATATACTTTTGAGAATAAAAGTCAGAATGCCCTAAGTTAAAAATTCTTAATACCCATTAAGATCAAAGATCAGTATATACACAAATTAGAGGTTAGACTTAAGATCTGTATGACCTCCACTAGATAAATATTATATACAGACATTTGCTTCCCCACCCTAACCCCATGGCCAACATTATGCTTAAGTGTTTATCTTTAAATTCACCATTACAGTTGACAAGTATTGAATGTTCTTATTTAAAACAGTGAATGCTTCTTCTGTAACTGCTATTCTCAAAACAGCTTATAATACTGGCATTCCTTAATGTAACATAGGCTAAGTTCTAGTTCCAGTAATTGCAGGAGTACCAGAAGTTGGCCTAATATGAACCTTTTTTCTTCAAATTCTTTTCAGAATGATAGTTTTATTAGACTTTGCTCTAAAAAAATACAACATAAGCATAGTACTTTTTATCTACAAATTTGTCATCTCATAATTGCATTGCTATATGTAAATATATATTTTTAAAAACATTATGGTTTAATGGTGGCAAAAAAGTATTTTGCCAACTCTTTCCCACTGCAAATCGTAATAAATGCTCGCCTTGAAAGGTAGTATTTCACTATTACAAGTGGCACAATCCATTAAGCAGGCTTAGTCTAAAATATATATATATGTAGTTGAAATTAGTTTCTTTCCAGTGGACTTCAGAAACCATCCGCATTTTATAAGATGTTTCATTACCAGTCACTGGAGTGGTCTCTTCAAGCTGGGGAGTCAGATCACCATGTCTCTATTATGAAAACTGAAGGTAAAAGAAAGGGGTACAGAAATAGATTTTTCAATTGGTAGGTGCTTCTGTTTCTGTTTTCCCTATTGGTGCCTCAGGAAAAAGTAGTTTCCTAAGTATGTTTGCATAGAATGGTCCATACACTTGTTTATTAAAGTTTACAATGCTTGCATACTGAGATCCAACAAATTCCATCTCCGTCTGAATCACAGAAAGGCCTCCTGGCACAGCAGGCATACACTTCTGGAAACTTGGAAGAGCAAGCAAGCTTTTCATGAATAACTGGATCCGTTTATCTGAAACATAATATAAAGCATACTCAGAACAAATGTAAATGCAAGATGAAACCATACGCACTTCACAAGCACCCTGTAACTCAGCACAAGAAATCCAACAATATAGGTAACTGTGCTCTCCCTTTCCCAAGCCCATCTTGCAGAGTGAAACACTGAAAGTTTTTGACAGCTGACTCCTGCAAGGCAGACAGAGCATAACTCTGTTCAACAAGTTAGTGAGTTCACTTCCTTTCAGGTAAAGAAGTAAAACACTCTCGGTTTAAACCCAAACTGACAGAAGAGAGATGAGTATCACACACAATTTCTATATTCCCCTCCAGAAATCCAGTATCTCTAAGCAAGGACATTTAAACTTTCTAGCTACAACTAACCATGCTCTACAGCATACCAACAGCACAGCCCCCCAGTAAACAATATTTCTTTACTCTTTTGACATAGTATTTTACTGCTGTAAGAAAGTGGCTTTTAAGCATAAGTAGCTGGTTGAGATTGCTGGAGGTAAGTCTTAAACTTAGCAGCTTAGACACATACAGTAAGATAATTATGTGTTCTTACTAACCGATCAAGGAACAGACAGGATTATTCTCTTCAACAATACTAGCAATTTGACCCATTAAATTATTCTGTGTTTCTGCATTGAGAGTAGGAAGACCTCTTTCAGAGAGAGACCCATTCACTTTGCTGCAAATCTGGACACCAATAGCATTCAGAGCTTCCTTCAAATCAAAAGTTCTGGAAGAAAGAAAAAAAAAAAAAGAAACTTTTATGGCTTCCGTAGCAGTTTCAGGTGAATTCACTACTCCTTTTTCCTTTTGTTTTCACTGCAGAGAGCAGGCTGAGAGAATATAGATGAAGTTGTCATTTGATCTTGCAGATGTGTACTTCTACAGATACATGAGAAATCTTTACCTGTAAGATAAGGATACTAATTGGGATTCAAATGGGAAAAGTCATTTTAAGTGTGCAGCGATGACACCAATTCACTTTGACCTTATGCTTACGTATTATCCAGGGCCAAATTCATAACATTTCATGAGGAAAAAAGTAAAATAACTTCATTTGAAACACTAAGACTGACACTAAAC